AGCAAAACTGTGCACAGTTTAGCGTTCTTGCCGATTCGTTTCTTGCGCTTTCGTTTACTGCGGATTTCAATTCTTGCGGATTTGTCCGGTCTCGAAATAAGAACGATTTGGAGCAAGAAGAGTGCCTGAATAGCGAACTTCCTTGTTTAGAATAGTCAAAAATTATATTTCTCGTTTTTCTAGATGTTTCTGAGCATGTAAAAAGTCGTGGTAAAAAATTTTAGCTCTCAGGGGAAACATTGAGGATTAGAAACATGTACTTCAACAATCAGAGTTTGACATGATCTGCATTATTCATAGAAATATGAAAATCTTTCATTCAGGGCTGAGCGAAAAAATTCCAGGACCGAATTTTTTTTTCGTTTTTTCGGTCGGTTACGGAAAGAAATTGGGCGAAAAATTTTCGGATTGAACGACTTGAAAAGTTGGAAATGATTAAGATCATGAAAATCACATCAAAGGACTGTACATCAAGGTTGTTGTCTCATCGAACAATTTCTTCAGGGATACACCAAAATGAAAATTGATGATTGCCACCGAACCCGAACAACCGGAAGACGTTGTGTATCACTTTCCACTCTGAATTAGGAAAAAATGCGGAATTTGTTCTATTAAAGTCATGATTTACAAATTTACTGGCCTTGAATGTATGAAAACTCCATGTTTTAATTAATAGAAATTTGTAAAATAGAAGATCATTTTCTATAATTGCCTCATGTGCTGGAAGTTACCCATTTTCAGAGCCTCAATCGCCAGAATTTCTTGGAATTTACAAAATTGAAAAAAAACGGAAACTTTACGATTTCAAGAGAATTTTTCGCAATTGTTCAAACATGTTCATTTTTTTCACATTCTTTATACTGCCAGCGAGAACTAATTGGAAAAAGCCAGAAAAATTAGGAACTGAGGATATTAATTGAATTAGCTGTTTTAAACAATGCTAAACAGTGTTCCAAGATCGTGAAGTCATGGAATACGTTTATACACTTGAATCTTCCAAAAATAAGAAATATTTGGTGAAAAACGCTCGAAAATGAGGAAATATCTCTCGACCTAAGCCCCGCCCACATTGCACGCAACGTATAGTAGACAGCGGAACCCGGCAGATGTCGGTACATCCGGGAGACCTCACTATATAATGGGCCTCGTTTTGGAGGTCTCCCGGTGAACATCACTCCATCTCTTCTGAGTCGGCTGAGATCCTAAGGATGGTTGTCAGGCAGGGGAGCTCCTAGGTTAGTATGCATACTCCCTAGTGGCTCAGCAGAGATCGTGTGATAGGTTCCCCCGAGATAACCTAGGGTACATCCCGGGAATTTTCTGAGCTCTACCTGAGGCCTGTGTTGCAAAAAATAACTAGATGCCAAGTATAGTTTTTGAAAAATGTTTAATTTTCGTTTTTTGCAGCTTTTTTCGTTAGCTCTTTTTTCGTTAGCTTTTCGTCAAGTCCGTCAGGTTCGTCATGTCCGTCAGGTTCGTCCGTCAAGTTCGTCCGTCGGGTTTGTCCGTCAGGTTTTCTCGTCAGGTTCGAGGGAATATTATGTTAATGTAAAATCATCCTAAGAGGATATTAATACCCTTTACAATATCAAACATTTCAGGTTGGGCTTAAAAACAAGACAACAAATACAGGAATCGAAAATTTATTGAATTTTTTAATATGGATTTATAGATATTTGTGGCCCTAAAGAGGGCCGTTGGGTTCGGTATATGGGGGATCAAAGAGTCCGTTCTTATTCCTTGTCTCCTCCAGTCTTCTTTGGGAGAAGAACAGCTTGGATGTTTGGAAGAACTCCTCCTTGGGCGATGGTGACTCCAGCCAACAGCTTGTTTAATTCCTCGTCGTTACGGACGGCAAGTTGAAGATGTCTTGGGGCAATTCTGGTCTTCTTGTTGTCACGGGCAGCGTTTCCAGCCAACTCGAGAACCTCAGCAGCGAGGTATTCGAGAACGGCAGCCAGGTAAACTGGGGCTCCGGCTCCAACACGTTGGGCATAGTTTCCTTTACGGAGAATACGATGAAGACGTCCGACTGGGAATTGGAGTCCGGCTCTTGAAGAGCGAGACTTGGCCTTTCCTCCGGTCTTTGCTTTTCCTCCCTTTCCGCGTCCAGACATGGTTGATGAGTTGGTAGATGTGGAAACAATCTAAAGAATACAAAGACACCAAACCCGCTTAAGAACATTTGTGCGGTGGGTAGGCGGAGAATAGGGAGGAAGCGGCCGAAGGTTGGTTATTCGGCAGAATGGGGAGGAGGAAGGTAAGGTGTGTCCCGACAGCGGGGAGAAAGAGAAGAGGAAAGGAGAAGTCTCCGCCCCGCCACCGGAGAGACAATTCAAATAGAAGATAGAACAACCTACAAATTACACTTGTCTAAAGACCAGTCTCCAATCTCTCACCATGCCACCAAAGCCATCCGCCAAGGGAGCCAAGAAGGCCGCCAAGACCGTCACCAAGCCAAAGGACGGAAAGAAAAGAAGAGCCCACCGCAAGGAATCCTACTCTGTGTACATCTACCGTGTGCTCAAGCAGGTCCATCCAGACACTGGTGTCTCTTCCAAGGCCATGTCAATCATGAACTCTTTCGTCAATGATGTCTTTGAGCGCATCGCCGCCGAAGCTTCTCGTCTTGCTCACTACAACAAGAGATCGACCATCTCATCCCGCGAAATTCAAACCGCTGTTCGTTTGATCCTTCCAGGAGAGCTCGCCAAGCACGCCGTGTCTGAGGGAACCAAGGCTGTTACCAAGTACACCTCCAGCAAGTAAGCTATCCAGCTGAAAGCAATCCCAACCGAACCCAACGGCCCTCTTTAGGGCCACAAATATATAGAAATCCATTGATTCATATTGTCAAATAAATATATTTTTTCTCGAATCTGAATTCTCACAATTGCAATTGTCACACATAACAAAATTGAATCCCAATTCTCATCTTTCACGAACCTGATGCAGAATCTAATCGAATTTGCGAATTCTCATACAGTTCCGGAAAACGCGAAATCGATTTATAGAAAAAAAAAGTTGGTTTTTTTCTAAATCCGGTATTCTTTTGAGCATGCGGGACCACTTCCTTCAATTTGGGATATTTTTCTGCCGTTAAAGTCATTTTTTTCTCCTTCATCCGTGCGCTTTACAAACGGCTTACAATTCGACAGTTGCCCATCATCCAATGTCATGAAAACTTTAAACCAATTTCCATGGAGGAATTTCCATGGAACTTCTCGGGTTATTGAGGCGGCGCCGAGCCGTTCTTCATCCGTCCGCGCATCTTTCTTTCTTTCTTTTTCATACACTTCTTCATTTACGAATACAGTATTGGCTCCCATTCAAAATCTACATTCAAAAATGGTGGTGTAAAAACTGAACAGGATAAAATTTATTTATTCAAGGAGATAAAAAGGATAGAACTTTTGTGGCCCTGGATTAACATTATTTTTCTTAAGGCCTCTTAGTGATGCCTTTGTTCTAATGAAACTATTATGCTTTTCAAATTTTTCTTTTTTAATGTTTGAAAATATTTAGCTGACGGTATTCTGGGATGATTCCGGAAATTCTAGATATAAAAAAGAGCGTAGTTCGTATTTTTATTTTCCAGGAAGCATATTAGAATCGCACCGGTGCCTATGATATGCAGGCCTGTAATATGCAGTAGTACACCATTAAATTTCATAATTTTAAAGGTGGGGGGACAGGAGATTTTTCGTAGGATTTTTGTTTGTAGCTAGGGTATGCATTCTACCGTAACGGTGTACAACGCTTAATGTCACTCTGCGTACACACAAGTTCAACTCCTCGAAAGGCATATTTAAACGGAAGTTCGAGAACATTATTTTTTCATGTCTCCCCACCTTTAAAAAAAATGTTCAAATTTATTTTTTTAAAGCTTTGCTTATATCATTGTTGTTGTTGGTAACGAATTGATTAAAAATTGAATCCAATTTGTCGTTCGATGTCTAAATTTACGAGGTTTAAAAATAAAATCAACTGGTCGCAGGAATTTTGAAAAATCGAATCACATTCTTTCAAAGGACGTATACAAAACTATTTTTGATTTTGGAAAACAGGAAAATACAGATAACGCAAATTTATTCAATTAAATAAGAGAGAAGATGGATTAGTGAACGTTTGTGGCCCTAAAGAGGGCCGTTGGGTTCGGTTAAGTTTGGTTGCATGAATCAGAAAGGTAATAAAATTATCCTCCGAATCCGTACAGGGTTCTTCCTTGACGCTTCAAAGCATAGACGACGTCCATGGCAGTGACGGTCTTTCTCTTGGCGTGCTCGCAGTAGGTGACGGCATCACGGATGACGTTCTCGAGGAACACCTTGAGAACTCCGCGAGTCTCCTCGTAGATGAGTCCAGAGATACGCTTGACTCCTCCTCTTCTGGCGAGACGGCGAATAGCTGGCTTCGTGATTCCTTGGATGTTGTCACGAAGAACTTTGCGATGGCGCTTGGCTCCTCCTTTTCCGAGGCCTTTTCCTCCCTTTCCACGTCCGGACATGTTGAATGCGATTGATGAAGACTCACAAGTGAGATGGTGTTAACTTCAGAATCGAATCCTTATATACCGAGATGTATTCTCTTGTGGTGGATGGGAGGAGTCACTTCTAACCCCTCTGTGGGGACACACCATACACTTACAGACGCTCTCCGAATGTTCCCCTCTTCTCTTCTCCATAGACTCCGCGCGGCCTCCGCACTCTTATCGCAGACACATATAAAAACCGTCTCTTCCCCTTCTTTTCTTCACAGTCCCAATCGGATTCCAATTGAAATGGCTCGTACCAAGCAAACCGCCCGCAAATCGACCGGAGGAAAGGCTCCAAGAAAGCAGTTGGCCCCCAAGGCTGCCCGCAAATCGGCCCCAGCTGCCGGAGGAGTCAAGAAGCCACATCGTTACCGCCCAGGAACTGTCGCTCTTCGTGAGATCAGACGTTACCAGAAGTCCACTGAGCTCCTTATCCGCAAGCTGCCATTCCAGCGTCTTGTTCGTGAGATCGCCCAGGATTTCAAGAGTGACCTTCGCTTCCAATCTTCCGCTGTCATGGCTCTTCAAGAGTCCGCTGAGGCTTACCTCGTCGGACTCTTGGAGGACTCCAACTTGTGCGCCATCCACGCCAAGCGAGTCACCATCATGTCCAAAGGACATCCAATTGGGCAGACGTATCCGAGGAGAGCGTGCTTAAATTTCCACTTTTGGATTTTGAGACCGTTTCGATTCACTGAAAAACTTAACCGAACCCAACGGCCCTCTTTAGGGCCACAATTTTTCAGAATCCATGTCACATGTTGTTAAAATGAATAAATTGTTCACTGTTTTCAGTCCATATCCTTTCTTTACTGTTCATCATCAAAACACGACAATGGTATCAGCTTGAAAAGATTCTATTGAAAAATCTCATTCGATTTATTTGAAATCTCATTCAGTCTGTCGTGTTCCTCGATGTGAATATTTATCTAAACAATGTTCAATGCCCTCTCTTTTGATTTTCTCAGCATTAAATTATTATCAATCAAGAATTTTTGTTTGGCGCCAATTTTGGATTCAAATCGTTTTACAAAAAAGATTCTGCAACGCTTCATAAATGTGCAGATAGGTGTTTGTAATCAGGAATTTTTGTTATCATCTTTTTGTTTTTATTTTGTTATCAGCCTGCAAGAAACATCAACTTTGGCGGCTATTCAAATTGTTATTCAAATTTGAAGTTTTATTCAAATTTGAAGTGTTATTTAATTTAAAGTTTTTAGTTGTAGAAAAATTCGGAGAAATTGATTTAAGTAGGGTAGGAATTCAGAAATTACTCTCTTGATTCGAAGCAAACAGAATAAATATCTATGTTTGCTACTTATATTATTCTGATTTTCACACCAAGCATCCCAGAACTTTATCACAGTATAGAACGCCTACATTTGAAACATTGTAGACCAAATTTTCGATCTACGTCAACTAAAGTCAGCTACTAATTCCTAACTTGTCCATACAACTCGTGATGGAAACAAAATATATCATTATAATAGTAAGAAAAAACAAAAAAGACGAAATATTTATTTGTTGTCAAACATTATGGATTTTCAGATATTTGTGGCCCTAAAGAGGGCCGTTGGGTTCGGTAGATGTGGATCAAAGAGTCAGTTCTTATTCCTTGTCTCCTCCAGTCTTCTTTGGGAGAAGAACAGCTTGGATGTTTGGAAGAACTCCTCCTTGGGCGATGGTGACTCCAGCCAATAGCTTGTTCAATTCTTCGTCGTTACGGACGGCAAGTTGAAGATGTCTTGGGGCAATTCTGGTCTTCTTGTTGTCACGGGCAGCGTTTCCAGCCAACTCGAGAACCTCAGCAGCGAGGTATTCGAGAACGGCAGCCAGGTAAACTGGGGCTCCGGCTCCAACACGTTGGGCATAGTTTCCTTTACGGAGAATACGATGAAGACGTCCGACTGGGAATTGGAGTCCGGCTCTTGAAGAGCGGGACTTGGCCTTTCCTCCGGTCTTTGCTTTTCCTCCCTTTCCGCGTCCAGACATGGTTGATGAGTTGGTAGATGTAGAAACGATCTGAGAAGGACAGGACAGGCACCCGCTTTTATTTGATTCTATGGTGGGGAGGCGGGGAGAAGGGGAAGAAGGGAGAGATTGTCTATTCGGTTCTTCTGGCAACATCAAGGGTGTGTCCCCGCAGACACTCCGCCCCTCCACCGAAGAAACACTAAAATAGAAAAGCGAATAACCCCTAGATTCACACTTGTCAACTGACCAGTCCCAACCTCTCACCATGCCACCAAAGCCATCTGCCAAGGGAGCCAAGAAGGCCGCCAAGACCGTCACCAAGCCAAAGGACGGAAAGAAAAGAAGAGCCCACCGCAAGGAATCCTACTCTGTGTACATCTACCGTGTGCTCAAGCAGGTCCATCCAGACACTGGAGTCTCTTCCAAGGCCATGTCGATCATGAACTCTTTCGTCAATGATGTCTTCGAGCGCATCGCCGCCGAGGCTTCTCGTCTTGCTCACTACAACAAGAGATCGACCATCTCATCCCGCGAAATTCAAACCGCTGTTCGTTTGATCCTTCCAGGAGAGCTCGCCAAGCACGCCGTGTCTGAGGGAACCAAGGCTGTTACCAAGTACACCTCCAGCAAGTAAGCTATCCAGCTGAAAGCAATCCCAACCGAACCCAACGGCCCTCTTTAGGGCCACAAATATATAGAAATCCATTGATTCATATTGTCAAATAAATATATTTTTTCTCGAATCTGAATTCTCACAATTGCAATTGTCACACAACAAAATTGAATCCCAATTCTCATCTTTCACGAACCTGATGCACAATCTTATTGAATTTGCGAATTCTCATACTTATTGTTAGAATGAATCCTGTTTCTTCCCAAAGTACGGTTTTCTTTTGAGAATTCTGAGACCATTTTTTTTTCAATTGCGGATACTAAATAAACTCGGTTTTCTTCTCACCTGCATTTTGTAGGTAAACAAGGGACAATGGACAAAGGGACGCTGTCTAAATGAGAGTTCCACACGAGATACTGCTACGGAAACAGTCCTCCTGCAACTAGCCCAAAAATTAAGAAGTTTCGCACCATTTCATTTCATCGAATTCAATTTCGAGCATGAAAGTTTTAAATCATTTTCCATGTAGAATTAACTCAACATCATTGAGACGGCTCCTAGACTGCATTCATCCGCCCGTGCCTCTTTCATCCGAAGAATGTGTTGGCCCTGATTTCTCTCTTTTTTGTGTCAATTTAGAAATAGTGATGTTAAAAAACTCAACAAGAAACAAATTATTTATTCAAGGAGATAAAAAGGATAGAATTTTTGTGGCCCTAAAGAGGGCCGTTGGGTTCGGTGGATTATTGAGTCAATACGACATTTAAAATCTTATTAGTAAGAATTTAAGCACGCTCTCCTCGGATACGTCTGGCCAATTGGATGTCCTTTGGCATGATGGTGACTCGCTTGGCGTGGATGGCGCACAAGTTGGTGTCCTCGAAAAGTCCGACGAGGTAAGCCTCAGCGGACTCTTGAAGAGCCATGACAGCGGAAGATTGGAAGCGAAGGTCAGTCTTGAAATCCTGGGCGATCTCACGAACAAGACGCTGGAATGGCAGCTTGCGGATAAGGAGCTCAGTGGACTTCTGGTAACGTCTGATCTCACGAAGAGCGACGGTTCCTGGGCGGTAACGATGTGGCTTCTTGACTCCTCCGGCAGCTGGGGCCGATTTGCGGGCAGCCTTGGTGGCCAACTGCTTTCTTGAGCCTTTCCTCCGGTCGATTTGCGGGCGGTTTGCTTGGTACGAGCCATTTCAATTGGAATCCGATTGGGACTGTGAAGAAAAGAAGGGGAAGAGACGGTTTTTATATGTGTCTGCGATAAGAGTGTGGTGGCGGGGCGGAGTCTATGGAGAAGAGAAAAGGGGAACATTCGGAGAGCGTCGGTAAGTGTATGGTGTGTCCCCACAGAGGGGTTAGAAGTGACTCCTCCCATCCACCACAAGTGAATACATCTCGGTATATAAGGATTCGATTCTGAAGTTAACACCATCTCACTTGTGAGTCTTCATCAATCGCATTCAACATGTCCGGACGTGGAAAGGGAGGAAAAGGCCTCGGAAAAGGAGGAGCCAAGCGCCATCGCAAAGTTCTTCGTGACAACATCCAGGAATCACGAAGCCAGCTATTCGCCGTCTCGCCAGAAGAGGAGGAGTCAAGCGTATCTCTGGACTCATCTACGAGGAGACTCGCGGAGTTCTCAAGGTGTTCCTCGAGAACGTCATCCGTGATGCCGTCACCTACTGCGAGCACGCCAAGAGAAAGACCGTCACTGCCATGGACGTCGTCTATGCTTTGAAGCGTCAAGGAAGAACCCTGTACGGATTCGGAGGATAATTTTATTACCTTTCTGATTCATGCAACCAAACTTAACCGAACCCAACGGCCCTCTTTAGGGCCACAAACGTTCACTAATCCATCTTCTCTCTTATTTAATTGAATAAATTTGCGTTATCTGTATTTTCCTGTTTTCCAAAATCAAAAATAGTTTTGTATACGTCCTTTGAAAGAATGTGATTCGATTTTTCAAAATTCCTGCGACCAGTTGATTTTATTTTTAAACCTCGTAAATTTAGACATCGAACGACAAATTGGATTCAATTTTTAATCAATTCGTTACCAACAACAACAATGACATAAGCAAAGCTTTAAAAAAATAAATTTGAACATTTTTTTTAAAGGTGGGGAGACATGAAAAAATAATGTTCTCGAACTTTCGTTTAAATATGCCTCTCGAGGAGTTGAACTTGTGGGGGCGAGGATTGAGGGTGCGGCGCCGCTACCGACTGAGCCACGCGGGCAAAAAGAAAGCGACCTCCCGATTGCATACATAAGGGTGAGGACGACCGGTGTACGCAGAGTGACATTAAGCGTTGTACACCGTTACGGTAGAATGCATACCCTAGCTACAAACAAAAATCCTACGAAAAATCTCCTGTCCCCCCACCTTTAAAATTATGAAATTTAATGGTGTACTACTGCATATTACAGGCCTGCATATCATAGGCACCGGTGCGATTCTAATATGCTTCCTGGAAAATAAAAATACGAACTACGCTCTTTTTTATATCTAGAATTTCCGGAATCATCCCAGAATACCGTCAGCTAAATATTTTCAAACATTAAAAAAGAAAAATTTGAAAAGCATAATAGTTTCATTAGAACAAAGGCATCACTAAGAGGCCTTAAGAAAAATAATGTTAATCCAGGGCCACAAAAGTTCTATCCTTTTTATCTCCTTGAATAAATAAATTTTATCCTGTTCAGTTTTTACACCACCATTTTTGAATGTAGATTTTGAATGGGAGCCAATACTGTATTCGTAAATGAAGAAGTGTATGAAAAAGAAAGAAAGAAAGATGCGCGGACGGATGAAGAACGGCTCGGCGCCGCCTCAATAACCCGAGAAGTTCCATGGAAATTCCTCCATGGAAATTGGTTTAAAGTTTTCATGACATTGGATGATGGGCAACTGTCGAATTGTAAGCCGTTTGTAAAGCGCACGGATGAAGGAGAAAAAAATGACTTTAACGGCAGAAAAATATCCCAAATTGAAGGAAGTGGTCCCGCATGCTCAAAAGAATACCGGATTTAGAAAAAAACCAACTTTTTTTTTCTATAAATCGATTTCGCGTTTTCCGGAACTGTATGAGAATTCGCAAATTCGATTAGATTCTGCATCAGGTTCGTGAAAGATGAGAATTGGGATTCAATTTTGTTATGTGTGACAATTGCAATTGTGAGAATTCAGATTCGAGAAAAAATATATTTATTTGACAATATGAATCAATGGATTTCTATATATTTGTGGCCCTAAAGAGGGCCGTTGGGTTCGGTTGGGATTGCTTTCAGCTGGATAGCTTACTTGCTGGAGGTGTACTTGGTAACAGCCTTGGTTCCCTCAGACACGGCGTGCTTGGCGAGCTCTCCTGGAAGGATCAAACGAACAGCGGTTTGAATTTCGCGGGATGAGATGGTCGATCTCTTGTTGTAGTGAGCAAGACGAGAAGCCTCGGCGGCGATGCGCTCGAAGACATCATTGACGAAAGAGTTCATGATTGACATGGCCTTGGAAGAGACACCAGTGTCTGGATGGACCTGCTTGAGCACACGGTAGATGTACACAGAGTAGGATTCCTTGCGGTGGGCTCTTCTTTTCTTTCCGTCCTTTGGCTTGGTGACGGTCTTGGCGGCCTTCTTGGCTCCCTTGGCGGATGGCTTTGGTGGCATGGTGAGAGATTGGGACTGGTCTTTAGACAAGTGTAATGTGTAGGTTGTTCTATCTTCTATTTGAATTGTCTCTCCGGTGGCGGGGCGGAGACTTCTCCTTTCCTCTTCTCTTTCTCCCCGCTGTCGGGACACACCTTACCTTCTTCCTCCTCCTCCCCATTCTGCCGAATAACCAACCTTCGGCCGCTTCCTCCCTATTCTCCGCCTACCCACCGCACAAATGTTCTTAAGCGGGTTTGGTGTCTTTGTATTCTTTAGATTGTTTCCACATCTACCAACTCATCAACCATGTCTGGACGCGGAAAGGGAGGAAAAGCAAAGACCGGAGGAAAGGCCAAGTCTCGCTCTTCAAGAGCCGGACTCCAATTCCCAGTCGGACGTCTTCATCGTATTCTCCGTAAAGGAAACTATGCCCAACGTGTTGGAGCCGGAGCCCCAGTTTACCTGGCTGCCGTTCTCGAATACCTCGCTGCTGAGGTTCTCGAGTTGGCTGGAAACGCTGCCCGTGACAACAAGAAGACCAGAATTGCCCCAAGACATCTTCAACTTGCCGTCCGTAACGACGAGGAATTGAACAAGCTGTTGGCTGGAGTCACCATCGCCCAAGGAGGAGTTCTTCCAAACATCCAAGCTGTTCTTCTCCCAAAGAAGACTGGAGGAGACAAGGAATAAGAACTGACTCTTTGATCCACATCTACCGAACCCAACGGCCCTCTTTAGGGCCACAAATATCTGAAAATCCAATATTATCAAGATTCAATAAATGCTTGTTTTCTCTAGTTTTTTGTTATTAATGATTCTCGAAGAAGGATCAAAAGTTGTGTGCTGTGACGAAATATGTAAAACTTATGCACAAAATATACTTTTTCCCTAATTTCAAAAGATCATAGAAGAGACGCAGATTAGCACATGTTGCGAGAAAACCTATAATTTGATTGTCAATCTCGTGAACAGGGAAAAATGTTGAGTGATTTTTCAGCTAACTGAGCTAATACATTTTGATTCTTGTTTCTGTTTATTTTGATAACTTCCAAAGAAGTTTCAAACAACGTCATGCATGAGAGAGATTGTAGTTTACCAGCTAATTCGATATACAGGTAGATTGTATTATAAAAAGGGTTTTGACATTTTAATTCAGACTTGTTATGCATGCTCTTCATCTATTCGACATTCCTCTTTACATTGTTGTCATTTTCGTACTTTTTCGGATAAATTCAAAAGCTTTCCAAAACTACAAGTATTATATAATTTGGCACACCCTTATGTAAAAGTTTTTGAGTTGTCCGGTTAGACATGTTTTTTTCCAGAAATGTTATCACAGAGTTTCACAATTGTATTCTTATGCTCCCAGTGGTTCATCTTCCGCACCCTTTGATAAGAGCAACTGGAATTATGTCAGATTTAGGATTTAGCGGACTGTTTCAGTTTTATTTTTTATCTGCACTAATAATACGTAAGAGAATGGGAGTAAAAAAAAAACAATTTTTGAGTTTAGAAACTGGATGTTCCGTAATGGAGATGTTCTATTTCCGATATCAAGCTAGTGTGCTTGATCATAAGGAAAGATACTTTACAAAATTCGTGAAATTCTTCACATTTTCTTTTCGATTCTTGACCTTTTTCTTCCCGGCAATTACGTTTGGTACCTTCTTCTACAGTATTCAACTCCAAGAGGAATATAAAAAAGAACTTGCTATCGTGAGCTGGATTTTCTGAAATGATAAAATTCGAAAATGTTTTCAGAAAGATCCAACTATTCCGGAGATCACATGTTATTCATCAGTTCTTGCTGCCCCATTTTCAGATTCAATTATGATTAGCACCATGATAACTTGGTTTGGATGCATGGTTTGTACTTTTTCCGTTATTCCAAGTACAACAATCTATCTTAACTCATATCTACGAAACACACAGAACATGTCATCAGGAGTTATAAGAATGCAGAAAATGTTACTAAATAGTTTAATCGTCCAGGTTCGTAGAATCTGATCTCTGACAAGAGAAAAATAAATGGTTTTTAGACTTTTGTTCATGGAATTATGTTAGGAGTACCGAATATTTTGTTCATATACACAATATACTTTGGTTCCAACTTCGAAGGTAAGATGTTTTCTTTTTCAATAGATTGATTCCAAAATCGCTTTACAGTTGCTGCTTATCTCGCTTTCGGATGTCTAACTTTTCATGGGGTCTTCTCAACGATTGCGATGATAATTTTTACAAAACCAATTCAGGATGGAATTATCGAAATTTTCGGAAATATTGCAAAGGTTTTCCAACGCTTCACAAGGTGCTAATCCACCGTAAATAAACACTAGTAGAGCCACCCAAACTTTTAACGTTGAGCTCAATTATCTCGATTTCTATGAAAGATAGGAAAATTTGGTCATTCGATAAAATATTGGTGTTATAATGGTTAACATTTTATCAGTTGATCACTTTTTCATATCTTTTACAGGATTTGAGATAATTCAGCTCAAAGTTGGATGGGTTGAAGGAAAAACGGTAATTTTGATTAGTTCTCTGAGTCCCTAAAATTTACCTCTAAAAACCTGGCCAAAAAAGAATAACTTGTTTTCTGATGATTCTAAAACAGTTAAATTAGTTTTACCCTCTTCTATTGTAATTTATCTCACTGACCGAAGTTGTTTTCTAAATATCTAATGTATCAAAACACAAATAAATAATAATCTCTTTCTCGTCTTCACCTTCTATTCATATATCGTTTCTATCTTCTGTTTTATGGTAATGATAAAGTTGAAGAGAGATAATGATTATTTAACGAAGATTAATCGTCTCTCTGAGATGTTTTTCTCGATATTACATCCCATCGCAGAAAAAAACGGACACACAAATGGAGGAGACCGTAAATCAGTTAGGTACAGTGAAACAAATCAAAAACCCATTTTTCGAAAAAGAAGAACCTCAAAATCAGTGATCATCAGGAATAGGGTGGGGATGGAGGAACGTCATTTCGGAGAAAATGAATGATCATTGAGATTTTGGAGGACAAAATCTGGGGGAATCGAAAGTGTTTAGTAAAAAACTTCGGGATTTCATAGCAAAACTCATAGTCAATTAGATTACTATTTTAAAAGAATACAACAATCTGGGTGAAATCTGAAAATTGTCATTTCGAATTGAATGAAACTGTTATCATAAGATTTTATATAAACCACACCAGTGCTACATCTCTTCTGAACTGCTTCCAACCTCAAAATTCCGAAAAAAAGCAACCAAAAATCCCTACTGTTCAAACACGTTCCGCAAAACCTGTAATAGAAGATCTTTCCCAAATTGTAACTTTGAGCCAATTTTTTGTGGTCCATGTGAGAAATATAAAGAAGTTGTCGACTGATAAATTCTTTTTCATAACATTAACAACGTTTTGTAAGCTGAACCATTTTTTATGTCTTTCACAGGAATTGTGATAATTGAGCTGAAACTTGACAGTGTGGGGGCCTTTTATACAGGTCGTGCGATATCTTTCCGTTTGGTAGCTAGCCACAGTAAGAAATGGATTTATGACCTATGTTTTTTTCAAAGAATATTCCCCAGTTTTTCAAAAATCTGTGTTTTTGCTCCTACTGCTATAACTTGCAACTTTCTTGTTATTCTTTTTCCCAGTCACTCCAACCTGTACGCAATAATGATAAGCAGGTGGATATATAAGAATAGTTGTCTCCCTCGATCAGTGCACCGCATGAAGATAACAGGCGGGGGATAACAAACAATTGAATAAGAATCTCGCATCTCAATCAATCTGTCCCTCTCCCTTGGTATATATCTCTATCTCTTATCTTATTTTTACCGCAAAGGGTGTGATTGGCGCGTCCAATGAACCGCCGAACATTCGAGAAAATATGCTTTCACGTTGTTGCGTAGTATGTATTTACCAACCGTGATATGCGAATAGAACACATGCGAGGGTCAGTCAAGGAAAGATGCTGGACAGGCAAGAAGAAGAAGAATCGTCCCCGACCTCAATTTTGCACACACACACACATCGTTTTGCGCCGTCGGAGAAAAGATGCCGCATAGCCTTTTCGCCCCACCTCCTCTCTCTTGTTTTCTGTATATCGATAAACGATTTGGATTTATACATTGTATAGAAACTTCATATTACCATTTTTCCACGTCATAGAAATATTTAGAATAGGGAAACAAACATCTTAGTCTTCATATCATCACCATCTTCTTTTTTGAGAAGAGGAAGGGTCAGGTGACAGAATGGGATGGACCGCATTTTTCCCCATTAACTTTTTTGCCTTCGTTTTCGCATAGATGGATGAAAGTTGACACTTCTTCTTTTTCTTCTTCTCCTTCTTCATAAGACGACGACTACCACGACGACGACAAGCGAGGTTAAATGATACCATCGCCGTCGACGCCAGCAGTCCCAGTCGATTGAAGTAGCAGCCGAAAATGAACTTCCGAGTAAATCAAAGAATTTGAGGAATGCCTCCTCTTACGAAAAATAGAAGAGGTGGAAGACTGACGTCCTCTGTAAAAGTGCCCTCAATCTTTCTATGTCTCTTCTGACCCGCACTATCTCATTTTCTCTCACTTTTTCTTCTGATTACAATCGCTGACCTTCTTGTTATGGTCGTCGTCCTCCTGACTCGTCTTTTTAGAAAACCAAGAGGCCTCTGAAAGTTTTTTAGAGAATTGTCATTTGTGAAAATTTTCTATCTATATAGACCTCCGTTTCATGAAAATTATCATCCAACGATTTTCAAAAAACTGGAAAACCTAATCTATCTGAAAAGTATAGTTGTTTATATGTTTTTTAATGTTAAATATCAATTGTTTCCTTCAAAGTCTCTGTTAGCTGTCGAATTCTTGATTGTATCTTAATCAATAATTTTCTCGGATTAGAGAATAAAAATTCGGTCGAATGAACTTCTCGACAATCTGTATGATGACGTCTAGACTGTTCACTTTCTCCTCTTTCCCCTTCTGATGGCTACTTTTCGGTCATTTTTCTTCACTTCAACATCTTCTGGATTCCTTGCAATGTTTTCGAGTTTTCTCACTCGTAATCAGTCTCATTTTTTCAGTTTTTTCCAGCAGTTTGTATGGTCTTACCACGATGTTCTTTCTCCCCACCCATTAAATTTTTAATGCCTAAACATACACTATCTATCGGTTTTCCGGGTTTTATACCCAGTGACGGGGTGACACAGAGAAAAAATGTGTTTCTTGAAATTGATGTCTATGTGTGGAATGCTCTGTTTTTCTTGTCGCAATAGTTCCAGAACTTTCTGGTTTTTTGAATTTAACAATCAGACATTTCAATAGAAAAATATGTTTTTATAGGGTAATTAGGTCAAACAATCTAATAGAAGGCCACCCAAGCCGTCAATTTTGAGCGTCTATATCTCGATTTCTGTAAGAGATTTCAAAAAGTTGTCAACTAAGAAAATGCTCATCACCATATCAAAAATATTTCGTCAGTTGATTACTTTTTGATATCCTTCACAGGAGCCGAGATATATGAGCTCAAAGTTGAAGGTTTGGGTGGAGTTCTATTAGAGTGCTTACGGTAACTTTAAAATGTTATTTTTTAGTTTGAATATTTGCCTTGATTAAAATTATGTTTATTTATCTCTTATAGGAACCAAGATGATCGAGCTCCAAGTTTTAAAAACAATTTCAAGTATTCTTGAGAAAACATGCAATTACTGAAACCGAACAATCGCATCTCAAGATCTCTCAGAAATGTAAACTTATACCGTCTTCTCACCTACCGTAACTGACGGGTTTGTGACCTAAACCAAAATACCACGTGGCAGAATCCCAATTACCGAACACACATCCGCTCTGTCTCCAATACATTGAGCGCCTTCTTCATTCCTTCTCGTAAAAGATTCGATTGTGGGCGCAGATTAGACGGTTTTCGACATCTCTCCCTCCATCGTCGTCATCGCCCTGATCTTCCTCTTATTCTTCTTCTTCTTCTTCGTATGAATGTGTTGAAAATATGTGCGTATTGGGGCATTCACATTCACATTCCGATCGCATTTCGATATATACACACACTTTTTTCCCGATCCCCATTCTTCCATGTTTCTTTTTTTGGGCCTGTATGTTGTTTTCTGTTGTTTCCGTCTCATAAAATAGACTTCTTCATGGTGGTGATGATCCGAAAAAGAGTCTAGACTCTCTCTATCCGGTGGCCACTGTAACATCTTTTTCTCGTTCGCTTTTGCTTTTGGGCTAGGGCGCCATCACAAAAATCCTCAATGCAAACACATGTTCCCTTCACTTTTCCTACCTCCACTCTTTTTCATGTTATTTCATTTTCACTTTTCTCAAGATAGAGAGGCCACAGTGAAGCATTTTCGGGCATTTTTCGGGCGGGCTCCTGTGCTCCCCATCCTGTGCTCTTTTCCTCAAGAACAAACACGCCTGGGGTCCTAATGTTTTTTGTACTATTAATGACGTTTTGAGACCAAAAAGGATGCGCGAGCCTTTTTTTAATCTTCGCAAGCAAAAAGATTTACAAAAACTATGTTTCTTTGCTTTCTTTTCGCCGTTCTCTTTTTTATATTTTGCAAGGTTTTTTCTGTTCTTGCAGAATGGGAAATTCCCACTGATAGTGAGGACAAAGTTCGTATAATCTTGTCTGAACAAAGTGAATTTTGAAAATTCTTCTAGAAATATTTTTTTAATTTATGTAAAACATAAGATGTTCCCCGATGAACTTCTTGGAAGTGATCAGAAGCTTACCAGACAACCTGTGAAAAAAGAAACTGTAACTTTTAACTTCGATCCAATTTTTCTCGGTTACTGTCGAAGATATAACAAAGTGATCAACTGATGAATTTTTATCATAATATCAGAAGTGTTTTGCCAGTTGACACATTTTGATATCTTCAACACGGATTGAGATAGTTAAGCTCAAATATCCGGTTTCGTAGATTTTCAGAATACCGTAAACATTGTGCCACCCAAACCGCCAACTTTCAACCCATATATCTCGTTTTCTGTATAAGATATTAGAGTTTTGTTCACTGATAAAATGTTTATCATATTATCAAAAATATATTGACAGTTGTCCACTGTTTGATATCTTTAATAGGAACCGAGATAAAGTGGCTCAAAATTGACGACTTGGGTGGCACCTTTTAATCATTCCCAATCTTCCAGCACTCAAAACTTTTCCTGAATTTTGTCGAATATCTATTCCTGAAACTGAACGAAAAACTATTAAAAAATACCCTCAAACCGCTTTTACCCACTTTTTTTGCTCCAATGACTCATGTCAACCCATGCAGTCAGGCTTAAACTCTCT